ATCCTCTTTAGCTGACGGTTAACCATCCTCTTTAGCTGACGGTTAACCATCCTCTTTAGCTGACGGTTAACCATCCTCTTTAGCTGACGGTTAACTATCAGCTAAAGATGATGGTTAACCATCATCTTTAGCTGCAGGTTGTGAGGTTTTATCAGAGGTCCTGTGTGGGCGGAGTCTGTGTGGAGGGCGGAGTCTCATCAGAAAAGTGAAACCAGAACACTGCAGGGGAGAACGTACCTGTCTAAATTTAGCTCTGGCCTCTTTTTCCTTCATTCTTCCGTGAGCGACCAGGTAGTCGAACACCTCTCCTGGAACACAGGAGCAGAGGAGTCAGGCTGAGGCCGACAGTCAGAACTTTCCTCTGCAGCTGCAGCACAAACACCCATCTGCCCCCCTGCAGGGTATTTGCTTCTGCTTCCTGCAAGCTGAGCCCCTCCTGAGGCACAAAGCTGCTCCCCAGCACAAAAAAAACAAACCCATCACTTCTGCTCTGAATGAAGTCCAGGTCTGCACGTGACGGCATGCACGGGATCAAAAATAGAAGCAGAAAACAAGGCCTCCTGGCTCCGGATCCCCGAATCCGGCCCACATGTCAGACCTGACCTGCAGAGGCAGGAGATTTTCTGAGCTGCAGGAGGATCTGACTCAAGCCTTCAGCGCTGCAGCTGAACAGCAAACTGCTCACCGAGAGGACGGGACTGAGAGAAACAGGCTTACTTAAGAAATTAATGCTCAAGATAAAACATTATTTTACATCGTTTTATTTTGAAGGTCTAACAGGTTTACACTGATGCTTTAAAAAATAAAAATCAGTTTTTAAAGTGCATGTGACGTCAAATATTTGTAGCACATATAAATGTATTTTTAGAAAGAGGACATTGATAGAATGTTGCAAAATAAATTTCACGTCGCTGAGATGAACAGTTGTTGGGATATTTGCCTGTGAAGTAACAGGAAGTGATGTCAAAGGGGAATGTCTGCATGTAAACAGAGCACTGCTACAACAGGCTGTAGAGAAGAAGCTGATATTTCTTTAGATTATTTTGACTATCAGAGATGAAGAGTCAGACCAAGGAGGTCCTAAAGAACAACTGGAGCTCAGAAACCAGGTGATCGTGTGATCGGCTGGTGAAGATAACGGCTAACGCTAAACGGTCAAGAGTCTGGATTTCCCATCACTGTACATGTTGACAACAGAGCAGAAAAAAAGGACTGACCATGTAGAAATCATTAAAACTATTAATCATAATATTAATCCAATTATTATTAATATTTTACATTTTATATAATCTATCTTATGTTTTAAATAATGTCAGAAAAGCTGTTTGTGTTTTGGATTTATTAACAGAAGATAAACA